GTTTAGTAAACCTAAGAGACGTTCAAAGAAAAGCTATCGAAAGATCAACCATTTTTTTTATTGGTCGGATCACATGTATAAAGACCTATTTTTATTGGTCAGATCATGTGTAACCCCGAAAAATCAGCAAAAATTTGGAAAAATTTGCGTTAAATACAAATTTTGGGATTAAGTCAAAAATTTGGAAAATTTATTTCCAAAATTTTACGGGTCCCTGGCATGCCCTGGCCATGCATCATGTGATTACGCAGATCCTAAATGCCTAGAAGTATAGTTGTCCGAGGCGTAGCTGAGGACAATTAGAATACACAAAATGATTAGTGCGTTTTTCATTTACAATCAGAAGGGTGAAGTCCTCATCTCACGATTATATCGTCAAGATCTGAAGTATGTACTTCATTGGAAATTTTAGCAATCTTTAGACTGCTAATTTCACGCTTGAATTAATTTATTTTAGACGATCCGTAGCAGACATATTTCGAATACAAGTAATATCCAACACTGATATACGATCACCCATAGTTACGCTTGGTTCTACTTCATTTTTTCACGTTCGGCATGAAAACCTTTTTATCGTTGCTGTTACCAAATGCAACGCTAACGCCGCCCTAGTGTTCGAATTTTGTTATCGACTCGTAAACATCGGAAAAGCTTATTTTGGAAAATTGGATGAGGAAGCCGTTAAGAATAATTTTGTACTGGTGTATGAGCTTTTAGATGGTTAGAATTTATAGAATTTTGTTAAGAGTAAAATTTTTATTATTTGTTCGTACCATTCATTATTTTTTTCCAGAGGTTCTCGATTTTGGATATCCACAAAACAGCGAAACTGACACACTGAAATTATATATTACCACCGAGGGAGTCAAGTCTGAACGTGCCTTAGTACGTCATTCTTTATATATATATGAATTTTTAATCATATTGATGTAAGGTTACAAATGTTTAAAATTTTAGAAAGAAGATTCATCGAAAATTACAATTCAAGCAACTGGTGCCACATCGTGGCGAAGACCAGATATAAAGTATCGAAAGAATGAGGCTTTTATAGATGTTATCGAGTCAATTAATCTGTTAATGAGTGCCAAAGGTATAAAGAATTTTCTATGTAGTATTAATATTATTTAATCTCGTATAAATTACTTTCATGACAATCAAAAGGTACTACACTAAGGGCTGACGTTTCTGGGCAAATTATGATGAGGGCTTATCTTTCTGGAACACCCGAGTGTAAATTTGGATTGAATGACAAATTATTGTTGGAAAAAGATACTTCTCATAAAGGAATGTACGTATCTAGTCACATTATATCAAGTGGCTTCTCAAATTTATTTAACTGTTCATTAAAGGGCAAGGAAATCTACTGCTGTTGAAATCGATGATTGTCAATTTCATCAATGTGTAAAATTGGGAAAATTCGATTCAGATCGTACAATCAGCTTTGTACCACCAGATGGTGAATTTGAATTAATGAGGTAGAGTTCATTATTTAATAAATTACTGTATTAGTTGAGATCGCACTTGTCATTAGCTGAGCATTCGCCATATTTATTGAATCACGAAGGTACCGCACTACTGAAAATGTCATTCTTCCGTTCCGTGTCCATCCGGTAGTCAATGAAATTGGAAAATCTCGTGTCGAGTATCGGGTCACAGTGAAAGCGAATTTTTCGCCCAAATTATACGCGAATAATGTATTAATAAAGATCCCCACACCGCTTAATACCGCCAATATAAATGTTCGTGTCGCTTCAGGAAAAGCGAAATATGTACCAGCTGAGAACGCAATTGTTTGGAAGTAAATAATATATATATATTTCTTTCGTCCATCAATACTGTTGATACTGTCATTTTGTTCACAATTTTGTATAATAACAGAATTCCACGATTTCAAGGACAGTATGAAGTAATGTTAAGTGGGGACGCAGAGCTTTCTGCAATGACAGTCAAAAAGGCATGGTCGAGACCGCCAATATCAATGGATTTTCAAGTATTGATGTTTACATCTTCAGGATTATTAGTAAGATTTTTGAAGGTTTTTGAAAAAAGCAATTATACTAGTGTCAAATGGGTAAGGTATATGACAAAAGCCGGAAGTTATCAAATCAGGGTAGGTTTGAATAATTTGTTGCAGAATTTATTTGTATAATAATCTAACAAGATACTAACATGTTTCAACAATAGTTTTAATATTCGATTAATTAGTTGTAGCACTATTTTGTGCAACCAATCACTTCTATTACAGCATATATTATGTTATATTATTTTTAATGTAATTTTTTTAGACATGTCACGTGAAAGTAGGTTATATTACAAAATTACGATCGGATCTCGTATTGGTATTTATTTACAATGCGATCTTTGTACGTAATAATATGAATCATATAAATTACATAAATCTATTAATAGAAAGTCTCAAATAAGAAAAATAAGAAATAAAAGTTGTACAAATGAGTACTTTATAAAACCCGCCATTGAAGTTGATTTATCGTTATTAAACTATTTTGCATCATTTTAACGACCCATAATCATAAGGGCTGGTGGTTACGCAGAGGAAGAATTACAAAGTTGTTTCTTGCCTGGAGCAACAAATTTTCACCTTTCGTCTGTAAGAAATAAGATTAAGCATAAAGAGGTCAATCTTTTTCTTCCCGGCTTTGTACTTGCTTTGTACCTGCTTTGTCCGTTGCCATTCTTCAAAGCCTTTTGCAATAAATATTTGTTTGTCTTTCCTTTTTTAGTGTGATATTTCTTTTTACTCGATATAGCTTCGATAGCTCCGCCTTATAATAAAAACGCCTTTGAATAAAGTTAACCTTTTGCAATTAATGAAGTTTTGACAAACCTTTGTGCGCTTATATAACGTCGATCTCCACGCTCGGGTATTTGTGATTCGTGCGTGGACTAAAAATTTTATATTTTCTTAATCAAGAAGCTTCACAATATTGTTGCTTCTTTGTAATATACTGAACACTTGTATTTATACCGGTTATAGTAAGAAAAAAAGTCATGGCTTACGATTATCGGAACGATCGGAACGACAAAGCAGGTTTTTATCCACTTCATAATAACAGATTTCATGAGGATGGTAGAAGCAATGCCGGCTATAATAGCAATTATCGGCAATATACAACGGAGGGTTATAATCAAGAGAATTCATATAATGGATATAATAATAATAGTAATTACTATTATAATAATAATAATAATTATAAAGATGGAAACATTGCATATTCTGATAGTAATATAGATATGTATAATAGAACTTATAATTCTTCCAATGCTTTTCAAAATTCCAGGTATTTATTTCTATCATCATATTATTTCCAATTAAGAGATTTATTTAACCTCTAATTCAACATGACTAGTCCTATTCCCCCAGCGCCCTATCAAAATTCAAGATCACAATCAGGTTATCCAAGTTCCCAAGCAAGTCTGCCACATTCATCGGGTTATGATAGAAAAGATAATTCAAATCCAAAGTATTTTCCTCCAGGACATGCTTCGTATGAACCACTTGATTCTTATTCAGAAAATAAAGAAATGTTACCAACTGCTGCTGTCGCACCGGAAACAACTGGGCCGAAGCCTCCAACAAATTATGATACTCAAAAATTATCTGAGTTTGGAGACGAACCTAAACCGGAGGCAAAACATGGTGGCCTGATGAAATTTTTTTGTTGTGGAAGCCGAACATCGTGTGCGAAAACTTGTGGGATTATATGTTGCATCCTTCTTTTGATTATTATTGGACTTGTAGCAGCAGTTTTGCTATTGGGACGTGTACCATCAGTTGACTTCTTAGGAGTTGCGGATTCCCCCACCGGTGCTCAACCATATGTTAAGAAGACTTCTGGATTTGATTTTAATTTTGGTCTTCGTATCCAAGTTAACAATCCTAATATCATTGGTGCAAAATTCTCGATGATAAAGGCTGTGGTAATTTTACAAATTTTGATCTTTTTTTCGTATCGTGAATTAGACAGTGCATCCAATAATATTGACAATTTTTATTGAAACTTTACTTGAAATCCAGGCATATTATCCAGGTCACCAAAATCCTATCGGGGGTGGGAATTTAACTAACGTTAACATTCCAAGTAAATCCAACACTACAATTACATTCCCATTTTCTATCAATTATGATGCATCAATTGATCCAGGATTCTCGATATTACTTGATATCGCAACAAAATGTGGGTTAACTGGTGGTAGTAAGTCCAAATTGTCAATTGATTACACATTGACCTTGTCATTTAATGTTCTTTTTATACCTGTGAGCCCAAGTTTCCAAAAGACAGCTAATATAGACTGCCCTATTCAGGTAAGATATTTACATTACATTAATTTTAGAATTACATTAATTTTAGATAATGCCTATTTCCATCATGGAAATTTGCTATCTCCATATTGGCGCCGTAAGTCACGTAAAATATATTGTGGAAATGGTAAATTTCCATGGTGGAAATAATTTTATTATAATTATTAATTCTTTTAATTGTTTCTTAAATAGGATGGTCAAATACCAAACATACCAGGTTTCAACATATCACAGGTTGCAAGTGACATTAGTAATAAGCCGAGCAAAATTAAAAGATATATGTCATTGCCACTATTATGAGAAAATTTTCCAATATTTTTATTTAATTTATTTAACTTTATTTAAAAAATTTTTATCATTTTATTTTCGTGAAAATATATATAAATGTATATGAAAGTTGGGAAATTTTTAATAGTAATACAAAAATTGATTTGAAAGTACGTACGTGTACCAAATTTCGTGAGTCATTGCAGAAAATTATAATTTTGGTTTAAATTGATGCCACAATAGAATGCTATCTATCCTCAAACAAGACTTTGGGATAGTATCCATATATATAGTTGATAAATCGACTTAGTCGACTAAGTTTTTTAAAATCGACTCTAGCATTAGTAGAGTCGACTTCATAGGACGAAATCAACCAACCGAAATCCGTGATTTCCCGTGATAATTAACCAATCAAATTACATAATTTTTAAAAATTGGACTATATACTAGAAAACAAAAAAAAAAAACAAAGAAATTTACACGCAAAAGAATTAGTCATATATTTAGAGAATAGATAAGTGCATGATAAAAAGTTAAATGAAATTTTCTGTTTTGAAAAAGTACTTTAAAATTACCTTCAAGTTTTTTTCTTTGCCATTTCAAAAAGTCGCTACTAAACTAACACTATTTAAATTAGAGATTATTTGAGATTATTTTTAAAGGACACTCGAGAGAAACGATTGCAAAATTTAGTATGTAACACTTGAGTTCTAAAAAATTACTCTAAAGCATATAAATAAGATACCCGGGCATAGTGTTCCGACCCGTCTCAAAAATCCAAACCCGGGTCACCCGTAGGTCACCCGCGGGTGGGTCACCCGGGTGACCCGGGTGATACAAGAAATTTTACAAACGGGTCACCCGGGTGACCCGCGGTTTATATAAAGAAAATGGTTAATTACCCGTGATAATTAACCAATCAAATTCCACAGGTCTAAAAGTTAAGCATTACTTCTTATTTTCTTATTCATTTTACTAACGCTAATATATTTCTTATGTTTTGAATTCATCAATAGCCAAGGTATTAGAGGTTATATTTCAAGTTTCTAATTATTGATTTTATTTGAATGATCTGTTGCATTAATAGTCTCTTGACATTGATTTAACTTTTGCTTTTTAGCAAGCGATTCATATACATTTTTTAATTGAAATTCGCATTTTAAAAGTTTAGGTATTGTGTAAAAATTAAGATAAATACAAAGTTTTTTCAAAATTATATTTGATACTTTTTATTTTTTTAAGAAATAATAATTTGATATGCTTTTATTTTTCAAAATACATTTGCTACATTTTTAGGTTTATTTACAAATACTGATTTGAACAAATACTTACTTTATTTAATTAAAGTGCATACAATAACAACAAAAATAAAGTCTTAAACAATTAGATTAAAATTTCTAAAAATAAAACTAAAGGCATTCTTGAGTATCTACTTCAATTAACTTAACAAAAAGTCTAATTTGTCTGTTTGATCAAGCTAGCCAATTAGACTTTTTATAAAATTCATTGAGGTAAATACTTGATAACACTCTAATTCACAACAAAAATATTCGCAAATAAAATATAGTAGATAATAATAACAAAAAGCAAAATCTTAAAAAGGTTTAGTATAAAATTACAAGATTTGATTCTGGTTACAAAAGCAAATGCACTTGCTGTTCTCAAGCATCTAAATTAATTGATCAAATAATAATTGTAGTAATGATATTTATAGAATTAAATACTTAAGCATACCTTTTCTTTTTTTCACTTACTATCTAAAAAAAACCTAATAAAAAAATTTATTTACAATCAACAGCTAAAGTTTCAACTTTAGTTACATCAGTTCTTTCTTTTAAATTTTTTGTTATTAACCAAATATGAAAAAATATTTACTAAACCTTTTAGTTTTAGGTCTTCTTTACTGAGAAGATTTTAAATTTAAATACATTGGGAAAGTAAAAGCAATAATAATCTGCAAAGATCTTTAAATTTATTAAATCATTGCAAAACTTTATATACAAATTTGTGCAGATCTTTAAAATTTAGATTTTCACTGCTCTTCACAGTTTTTTTATAAAATCTGTCTAATTATTTAAAAATTATAATCTTTGCAGATCTTTATAGTTTTTTTTTTAAAAGTTTGTATAATTATTTAAAAAAAATTAAATCCAATCTTTGATATATCATATAAAGTTAATTTTTTGGTTCTCTATAAAGCTATGACCCAGAAATATATAATAAAATTTTGGTTAAATCTACAGTATAATGATAATGGTA